TTGACTTACTCAAATTTTATAAAAAAAAACGGGCCCACGGGTTTCACAATTTGTTTAAAACAAACCCGTTTGGCCCCCCCCCCCCCCCCCCCCCCTATCGTTATCACCCTTGATCCGTCCTTACCGTCGCCCCTTCTCTACGAAGAAATTACAGAAAAAGCGGGACATAGCGAAGAAGAAACTCGACAGGAAAAGCGAGCCTTTTGTCCTCGAGGGCCGTGGTTAACAACTATAGATAACACCCTTGTCACGATGTGCAACAACCAATGAATGATTAAGTGCTGCCTTGGCTTCTAGGAAAGAATAACTCCACTGAAAACCAATCGATCATCGCCTTATGCCCAACATGAATGTGGTATAATGCGCTCGGAGCCAGCAGACACCAACGGCAAAACCCCAGGATCCCTCCTACAATCTTCCATGCAAACCCCTGTGACGGGTACAAAACGACTATCTTTCTAGCAATCGGGAGGCAAGAGTAGGATGAATTCCAAAGCCTAGGTTCCCAGAAACTGTGGCACCTATAATTCTTGTAAAGCGGCAGGCGCGTTGGACAACCTCGGTACAAATCTGCTGACGACACCGGGGCTGTAATTGGGATCAAACATACGGAGTCGTCGATCTGCCACAAAGGGTGTCATTTACCGACCGTCGTCAACCTAAGGCGTAAAGAGACAAGCTGGTAAGACTTAGACATAGTCGCCATATTCGCCATATTCGCCATATCGTCCGGTCTACCTCACAGCCCACATTACATCTGTGTCCTACTACGATGATGCGCGGCAATTCGATGCCAGAAAGCGCGGCTGCAACAACCTCGTCGGGGTCAAGAGCCGACCAGTTACTTGGTCTTCCAGCCAATGGTTCTCAACATGAGCCAACGGCGTCCGCCATCTCAGGTTCCGTCATGACGCCGGTTGCAGAATCCCCTCCAACCAGCCCAGGCGATAACAATATCCGAGAAGGCTTGGGAAGCTTGAATCGTTGGTCCCAATCCACGGCATCAAGCAAGGTTTCAACTGACCATATTGGTCACTACACGGGAAACCATTCCAGGGTGCTTAGCACTACTGATCGCGACCATACCGAAGGGGCACAACCAAGCGCGAACATGGGGCTCTCAAGTATCCCGCCTCGTGCTATCAACGCACCGATAGACGGTGAAGTCTACCACGGATCTATTCTAGATCAAGGCCCAACTGATTTTTTAAATCCGGCCACATCAATACTTCGAGGAATTGATACATCGCCAACTTTTTCAGCCGGTCTTGTAGGCGCAAACCCTGCGGACGTTGATGTCTCGTCCGAGCCGACGATGATCCCGAATTTATTCCAGAACCCGTGGTCTATGAACGGCGGAGAAACGAAAAATTTCCAGCAAATGCCTCCCCCAAACGCTATCCAGCGCCTGCAAGATAACGAACTTCCCATTGACGATGATTCACACCTGTCTACTGAACGACGACGAGGTCATTCCCAGAAGGCGATGCTTTCAAAAGCACTACAGAAAGCGAATACTGCCGTTCTTCTAGATAATGCGGCTAATTTTGAAGGTGCCATGGAAGCCTACAGTGATGCCTGCCAACTTTTGCAGCTGGTGATGGTTCGGAGTAATGGGGGCAAAGATGAAAAGCTCAAACTTCAAGAGATTGTAAGTTCCTAGTAATCTCCACTCTGTATCGGGCTGAGGGGCTAAGTTGTATAGCGCGACACGTATATGATTCGTGTCACCGAACTGCAACGCATGGATCTTTCTTTTCGAGAACCCGAAAGCAAAGCACTTCCCGAACGCCCACTTAGCCAAGAGTCTTACGGGGGTCTTTCTCAGTCAGTAGAGGAGGACGAGGCCGGGGTGTTACCTAGGGATCATGCTCGACCTTCACATCGTTTCTCTGGTCCTCGTCTCTCATTGACGGAGGAATCAAGGCCAATGGTTCTCGACCAAATTCCACCAAGACGCCAGTCGCTTTTGCCTTCCGTGCTGGATGACCCACGGAATATAGACGCATTAGCGGCTCTTGATAGGCACACCGATGGGTCCCATTTCGAGTCGTTCCCCAGAGCGTCGGGACTGGAACATTCAGAAATGGCAGCTTCATCTGCCGCAGAAGACATTGCAGAAATGTTCAGCCCGCATCAAGCTTTCATTGACAATTCACAATACTCCGATCTATCAGCGGCCAACACACACGGTAGGGATATTTACGAGTCAACCTCTTGGCTTGATACTATCGATGAATCCGGCGCATCCTCTCCTGCTTCAATGGGATCCAAAGCATCGTCGGTATATCTTCGCCATAGGGGAAGTCGCCTGTTCTGCCACACTACAGAGGCTGAATTTGATGCGGCTCTTGATGCCGCTGTCGAGGCCGCCTACGATGAAGGCCTAGAGCCCGCAATAGAATCAAGTGGCAAACACCACGGTGATGATATTGTGGCAAATGCCCGCAGAAATGTCGAGTTGGCAAAACAAAAAGTCCGAGAAGCCGAACGAGAGGCTGAGGTGGCAATGACGCGTGGCCGAGATGCATATTTGGAACAAACGCCAATTGATCAATCTCTGGGCAATGACTCAAGCTACCTTGATGAAGAAGCCGAAGAAGAGGAGCGGCTATTGGAAGAGATGACTAGAGAATATGTGATGGATGAATTTGAATTTGATCTTCAATCTAAGCCTGCTCTTCCTCGGCAGTCAGATTCGAGCAACTTGTCTGGAAGAACTTGGGATAGCTCAGCGACATCTCACGCGACAATGGCTGGCGCAGCCTTGTCTCCGCTTGCAGAGGATACCCTTCCCGAAGACCAAAATCTACAGCCGAGCAGAACCAAATCAAACTCTTCAACTAATGCTTCCCCCACCTTTACCAAACCAGCTCTTCCTCCGGCACTGGGCCCAAGTGTACGAGAACGAAGAATGTCGCGCCAGAAAACCGCTGAACTGAAAATTGAAACTCGGCTCAAAAGTAGCTCTGACCTATCTGGACAGAGCAAACCTTCGGCGCCGCCCAATTTTCGCCCACCGTCTCCCCCGCTTAAAGATGAACCCAAGACTGGGTTTCCTATGAACATAGCCAAATCTGTCGACCGTCCCACCTCAAAGTCTGCAGTACATTCGAGCAAGCGAAATGCATCTGTGAGTTCCTTCATTGGAGAGATCCCCGCAAAGGCAAGCCTCGGCCGGGTTGCAGATGACGAGGATTCTACGGAGCCTGCGGTGCGCCCAATTGGGAAAATTCCATCGGCACCGGATAATTTGGACAAGCCTCACTTGGGACCGAAAATGTTTCGAGCTAGAAATGTATCGGTTGCGGGTCTTGATTCGACTTATGAATCGCCAGGCACACCATCAAACAATGCCTTCCCATCTCTTGATTATCAGAAGGGAACGGCCGTCACTGCAGCGTCAGTTCTACCTACGCCCACCGGGGCGAGTTTTGCTCCCAACGGTCTTCCTAGTGGTGGACTGTACCTATTTGATAATCACATCCATTCACCCACCAGCCTTGGCTCCCCCAACTTGATGGCTACTAATGCGCCTTTGCCCCTGGAGCCATGCCCAGAATCCTTTCTCCTGCGCCCCTTCTGGCTTATGCGGTGTATCTTCCAAACGATAACCCACCCTCGTGGTGGGTATCTGACGACGAAGTTGTTCGTCCCTCGCGATGTATGGAGAGTAAAGAATGTGAAAATCAAGGCGGTCGAAGAAAAAGTCTCAAACTGTGATCTATTGACAGCAGCACTACTTAAACTAGCCAAGGTGGATACTTATGATGCCGATGCCGTACTAGAGGAGATGCAGTCCCTGGAAAGTATTCTCGACCAGGTGCAAATATCCCTGTCTAAAAAGGTCGGCAGCGAGGTTGGTGTCCAAGGTGCCATGCCACTTTTCAAATCATCTCAATCTACAGAGGACCCCACACACATCGACACTGTACCTCCAAAGTCCTCAACTGGAGCAGGAAAGTCGTATTTGAGCTCCTGGCGCAAATTACGGTCGAAAAACTCCGGGTTTGGTGCTACAACATCAACATCGGTCTCCAATTCCAAGGATGGCAGCAAAGACAACCTCACAATAAGCTCACTTCCTATGACTCTGATGCCCAACTCTCAGCTCGTCAAGCATAATGTAACTCAGCACCAATTCAGTGGACCCAACGCGAATTACATGGGCGCTTTGGCTCGACTTTGTGACGCAGCTCAAGTGTTAGGTAAGTGAAACCTGGCCACCAAACCGTTTATAACTGGATAATAATAAATCCTTGGACAGATCAAATTGCGCAGCAAGTTGAAGATCCAGGTCTCAAGCACTCCTCCCAGACCCTTGTTGGTCTCGAACTGAGCACGCGTCATGCTGCGGAATTTTTTGGATTTTATATATGTCGTTTTGCTTTGAATGACATCGGCGTGATGCTTGACAAGTTCATAAAACGGGGTAGTGAATGGGTCTTAATATAGACAGCTGTATTCCCTTTCATAGTCTTCGGGCTTTTCCTATTCGTCTATTGCTGGCGCCGGCTTTTTCACCATGAGAATTCTGCTTCAAGGAATATGATATTAGACGATATGATTATTACCATTTTCTGATTATGTATATATATAGTGATTCGAGTGCAATCGGGCAATCGTGTCTTTACAGGATCCCTTGGACGTATGCAGCATCTCGGGTGGCGACCAGCCTAGTCCGATCATTTTTTTCATAACCATGCTCGCCAATAATCAATCACAAGGGCCCGCAAACGAGAACCCGCCGGTGAATCGTTGCTGCAGACATATACCCCCTACTATCTCGTATTGTGCTCGGCCGATACCCTGGTAAACCCTACGAAATCAGAATTGCAACGGGTCGCTTACTTCCGGAGAAAAACACGCACATATACATATGTCCAACCAAGTAAAACAGATGTACAACAATTGGACGGGTGAAAGGAGGCAAGTACACCCGGGCGAGTTTAGAAATCTTGCCACCGCGAAAGCGTGTCCATAAAGATAGAAGCAAGCATACTTGGCATAGGCCCCATTATCTCTGGGTTTCGGTCATAAGCTCAGTGGGAACTGACCACTTAGATAGACTCCATTTCAATTAGATATCCATCATACTCGCTGTCCTGTTGACATGAAACATATTTGTCGGCGTCTTTCTGCATCCCGGATTATCTCTGCAGATAGTTTTAAGCTTGGAGCAAGATGTGCATATCTATCAACCTCCGCCATGACACTGGAAATTACTCGGTCCACCTGACTTGTTGGGGGCAGTAGAGTCGAAAGAGCTGGGGACATCGTTGCACCCATAATCAATAACGTTTGTGATACCATCGACAGCGCACCCTGCCAGAGGTACGGGAGATGTCCTTCACGGTGGCTTGTGATATTCTCAAGCTGGCGTAAGGTAGCTTCCAAGCATCGTCGGCAGCACTCCCTCACATTAGGATCCGAACATGCCTGCTCGTTTTCGAAAACAGCCAATATATATGGTCGGTAGATGATTGTACGGCATGCAAAATACCGCAGCCTGAGGACAGTTTGGACCGGATTGGAAGTGGGTGTGTGAGAAAGCGGGAACTGAAGTGGCTGAGGAAGATTTTCATACCACTGTGAGAGTTGGAAATCTAGCTCCGAGACTATTGGTCCAAGGGAGCCTAGGGTTAGAGAATTGTCTTTCTGATAGATCATATGGCTCACTCGATTGAGCAAGCGTCTCAAAGCAATCTCCGCTAGGAAGTACCAGAGCTCGTCACGGCCGATAAATCGATTCACAACCTCACCTTCTCGACGTTCGCTGTCTACTCCCTCTTCTTCTTCTTCTTCTTCTTCTTCTTCTTCTTCTTCTTCTTCATCCTCATCTTCCTCATCATCCTCTTCCTCCTCAAACCGACCCGGGAGGTCGACAAGCTCCTCAAAGTGTACTATGCCAGAGTGCGGCAAGTCCAGTTCTGCTAGCAGGTCACTCTCGTATAAAAGAGCATTCCAATATACTCTCACACTTAGCTCCCTCCATTGCGAAGGAACGCGCGAGGGATTGCCGAATAGCAACTGCAATTTCATACTAGCATTTGATAACAGAGTCCAGGCTTCCAGGGGCCGGACCAAGTAGAATAGATAGGCGGACGTGAGAATTATGCACTGGGCAGCAAGTACCGAATTTCGCATCATGACGGATGGAAGAAGACTCCATGCCGCTGCAAAATATGGAAGGCCTGGTGCATCTTCATTTTGAGAAATACATGAGATACTTCCACATCGGGCGGCACAACCGAGAGCTAATACCAGGAGAGCAACACAACTCTCAGGGCCTTCTCGAAAACTGACCGAGACAGCAGCATTGTAGTACTGAGTCCACGTGTTGGGGTTGACACAGGCATACCAGACATTGACTCGTTCGAAGAATGCCTGAATATAAAGCCCTGCGTTGGACAAGTCAAACTCCATGGGTGAGGACGTTCGGAGCGGCTCGCGAGCCATTTCAAGCTGTAGCAAGGTATGAGGATCATAAGGACCAGAGACCAAGTCTCGAATCAGCGGCCACTGTAGAAGATGTAATGCAGGCGTAGTATGTACTTTGGGCATCGTAGATATGCTTGTAGGTGGATTCGCCCATGAACCGAGTCCAACTACAGATGTTCTTCCCGGCATGGCAACGAGATTTGATGTCTTCCCCATAACATCGTCGCTATGGGTGTCATTGCTAGTCGTAGGCGATTGAGTAGACAATGGCAATGAAACTGGCTGACCGATTAGACTAGATTGCAATAATCCTTCGATTCTGTTTAGTCTTTCAATAATCAGCTTATCGCCCGCATCGAGTTTAATGCCGGGTTCTCTGTAGATGCAGTCTACGTCGAGGTCGGTGCATAGCTGACATCTTGGCCGTGCGCCATTGCATCTTGTTTTTCGAAGGCGACATATCTGGCACTGTCATCTCCTCCCCCCTCATAGTCGGCGATCAATATAAAGCAAAACCGGCGAGTAGTACCGTTATGAAAAAGGGACTTATGGAAGTGGGGGCGTGAGAGGAAGCGCTACAGGAAAGGATATTGACTTACCGCTATTGTAGCTCGCCGCCGGGGATACTCTGTCACTTCCGAGTTTGAACGCTTTTTCTTGCTAGTCTGAACATCATTGGAAGGAATTGCAGTAGTTGCGTTGAAAAGTGCGTCCCCGTCTTGTTCAGGAGAGGGAGACATGGTGTCGTTGATGCTGGGGTGTTTCAAATAGATGTAAGCGGGTCAAATAGACCTGCTGGATCTTTCACCGGGGGGAGAGGTAGCAGCGTATGGTGTATGCACAAGTTCGGACAAATCAAGCGGCCAGTAGTCCACTCATTGTAGGATCAACGGATCAACAATACGCATTTTGAAAACGGTTAGGAGCAGATCGTTCGCTTTTGGAGCAAATTTCATGCAGACAGCAGACAAGGGATCAGATCAGCTACCTACTTGATGGGGAGGGGGGAAGGGAATAAGCCAGAGTCTTTCCGCATCATAGGTAGGTAGCGATATTGCTGTCTTTTCCACCAACCATCCGAACCCAACAGAAAGCGGGGCGGATGCTAGCTCAATCGCAGAGGCTCTAATATATTAGTTAGTCACTTATTCTTGATAACTAGCCGAGGATGAACCAACCCAAGAGTCGGTCATCAGATGATCGGGCAAGCCAAAGCACGGAAGATGATCAAGACCAAGGCATGATCATATGAAGGTTTAATTGTCATGGTTTTTTGGTGTGTGTAGAGAGTACGGAGTAGTGGGGAATGAGAGAGAAAAAAGAAAAGGAAGGGGGAAGGGGAAACATTACAGCTGCAACTATGTACTCCGCAGTGCAGGTGCCATTGGGCACGGTAGGTACTGGTAGGTACAGGAATTTGCGGCCAACAAGCCGTGATACAATCGGTCTAGATCACATGGATATAGACATGTTCCTAGCAGGTACGGAGTAGGTACCAAATATGTACATATTGAGTACAGGACTGGTACGTGAATACCTGGTGGGTACTGGGTAATACGGAGTAGTACTTCCCTCTCCCGGCGGGCCAGGTGAATGACCACGTGCTAACCCGACGCGTTCTGTCGCCAAAAACAAAAAAGGAACGCGACAAGGTCCTCTGGTATAGCCCAAGTAGCCTGTCTACCCAATAATTTTCGGTCGATTAGATCTAACTGCTTCATTCGACCACCTAAATCTTTGTGCGTGTCTGCTTCCATTTTCTCTGCTATATCCTGAATTTTAACCTCGAAAACAGAAAATCCTGCCGCAGATATCGTCGTCAACGACCCAGATTAAGAAACGGAGACCAGTGGTGTATTAACTCTACACCGTAGTTGTCTTTGCTTTACAACCCTCTCAATAAGGAGAACCCCAAGTTCCACCTCTGTTGATTCGTTCTTTCAACCCCAGTCAACATGCCCCGCCCCCCGTCAAAACGGACTCGCCCCGTCACCAAAACCTCGACAGCCTCAAATGAAGTACCCCAGCGCAGTCCTAGACGGGAGGATGCCGACCCGGCTCAAACATTAGAATCGCCGTCGAAATACAATACAGATGTGGAAACCGCGACACAACCCAGGGTGAATACTCAAGCGTCGGGTATCTCACGGCAGGCGAGGGACCAGACTCCCATATCCGATGCTCAAGAACTAGCGATTGAGTCGTCACCGATGGGGGAGCGTGGAGCAACAGGGAGCCGACCACCCACTCGATCTCGTGGTTATTCATCTACTCTTTCCGTGGCCGGACGTAAAGGAGATATTAGCTCTAAAATTCCCGGTACGCCTGCATTTGAAAGTTCCATATTGAGTAATTTCAGACGACGGCCCCGGCAACCGAGTATCCTGCAGATGATGCAAGCAGAGGATGGTTCCTCAGATTTTGACGATGACGACTTTCTCGGTGGCTTCAGCCCAGAAGACGAGTCTACCCCACTGAACCTTTCCAGAGGAAAATCACTCGTGATGCAGAGTGCTGTGGCTTCCTCTCCATCATTGCCTTCTAGCGGTGGATCGCGCAAGCGCAGACGATCCCTAAACGAGAATGCGAATCCCGAAGCACCTCTGGCTGGAATGGGAACCAGTCCTATCAACTTGGCAACTTCGCCAAATCCTAATCATGGACGAGAACTGCGTTCCTTCATGGTATCACCTCAAACCCCAGCATCTTTCGCATTGTCGACGCAAGCAACGGCACCACCCTTGAGCAGCAGCTTGCCTCCAAGCCCCGCATCGGCTGCGACGTTAGAAGGTCCTCGGCAACTCGCAATCGAGAATGCCGATAGGGAGTCTGATAAAAAAATTAGTCTTCCGACCACCACTCTCCAAGACAAGCTCCTTCCTAGACGACATCAACGGCGGCGCAAACCTCGCCACGTGTCTAACGTGGAGGACCCAGACAATTCGAGCGACGATGATGAGTCTGCTGGTGAGCACGAAGAGGATGAACTAAGTTATCTTCCCGGCCAAAAAATATCATGGCCGCAACGAAAGCGACTAGATAAGTCTAAAAAACTCCCCAACGTTCGAAATACACATGGCGCTCAGAAGACCGCCAAGCCATATGGAAACCAAGCCAATTCAGCGGCCACGCGCCCAAAACAAATCAAGGAAAATAATGGAAACAGGTTGGAGACGGACAAAGAAAACAACGAAATAAATTCCTCTTCCCCTATATCGTCTCCCCCTGACTCGGACACATTCGAGGCAGAATCACTGCAGGAAGAATTGTCAGTAAACTTCATTAGCGAGGAGCTGAGAGAACAGGCACGGAAATTTGCAGAAGTTGATAATTGGGAAATGGAATTCGAGGATGTCCCTGCTAGCCAGAATATCCATGAATGATCTACCTGTACGAAAAATAACAATGCACCCCTGGCTTAGCTAGAGTATACAGAACGTCGGGGGGGAAACGATATGACTTTCTTAGCAACTTTGCAACATATTCGTGTCCGAAGGCTCCCGGATAAGTCCTTGTATTACCATTGTCTCCCCACAATTTCATACTCCGTACTTCCGTAGGACTGCGGAACGAACCCCGATGTTAGCCGATGGTTGGCAGGTGTTGAGCCCCGCAATCAACCCCTCTCAGTTCCCAGCCAATTTTATGATTTTATTTTGCAAACATTGCGTTGTTCCGCCGAGATCCGCACTCAAAATCGTACGGAGTTGATACAGACTTCGAACATAGCCACTGTCTTGAGACATCTTGTTATCAGAAGCGGACGACGATGACTACCTTGGAAGCCGTTCTAGCAGGCAAATATCCGGCCAAATCCCATGCGCGCCGGGTTGCTGAACACCTGGTGGCACATGGGCATGATGGTCCCGGTATTATTTATCTGGAGGCGCAGAAAACCCGTCTAATTGAAGACAATGATGAGGCTATGCCGTTCAGGTACATATTGGCGGCCCTTCAATCTGATGATGGTTACTGATCGCAGACTTTCAGGCAACGCCGTCCCTTTTTCTACTTATCGGGATGCTTGCTTCCTGATTCTTATTTAATATACGACACGAGTGCCGACAAATTGACACTTTTCATCCCCCCGGTTGATCCCGAGGAAGTCATCTGGTCCGGCCTACCTTTTTCCCCGGCCGAGGCCCTGGAGCGTTATGACGTCGATAGTGTGCTTGCGACGACCGATGTCAACAAGGCCCTCGCCTCTACCGCCTCGGCCCACCAGGGAAATGCTGTAGCTTTTGCAATTGCAGACCAAGTTTCGAGTGACACCAAATTCGATGGTTTTATTGAAACCAACTACTCTTTATTGAAGGGCGCAATTGAAAGGACGCGTGTCGTTAAGGACAATTACGAAATTGCCCTCCTGAGAAAGGCAAACGAAATCTCTGCAAAGGCGCACATTGCGGCCATACAAGCCTCTAGGTCCGCAACGAATGAACGTGAAATCGAGGGTGCCTTCATTGCCACGTGTATTGCGAACGGCGCGCGAGAGCAATCCTATCATCCAATCGTTGCTTGCGGCGAGAACGGGGCCACCCTTCATTATGGTAGAAACGACGATCCTCTGAGTGACCCGGCGTCTCAACAAAGAAAGGGAAGTGTCCTCATCGATGCAGGAGGGGAGTATCGTACGTATTGCTCCGATGTGACTCGTGTCTTCCCTCTAGGCGGCAAATTCGCTACGGAGACTCGACAGATCTATGAGATAGTCCTACGTATGCAGATTGAAGGCATTGCGATGCTCAAAGATGGTGTCCAGTGGGAGGACGTACATGCTCACGCGCATCGAGTTGCAATCGATGGGTTGCTAGATCTGGGCATCCTACGCGGCTCGAAGGATGAACTATTCGACAAAAGAATTAGCGTGGCGTTTTTCCCTCACGGTCTGGGGCATTATTTGGGAATGGACACTCATGACACCGGAGGTAACCCGAATTATGCGGACAAGGATTCCATGTTTAGGTATCTTCGAGTGAGAGGTCGTCTGCCGGCGGGATGCGTGATTACCGTTGAACCAGGAGTAAGATCCCACCTCGGTCCCTTTGACTTATTTCTAGTTAGTCGCTGACATGTTTTTTGTGGCTTTGCCCTTCAGATTTACTTCTGTCGCTTTATCATTGAGCCTTTCTTGAAATCCCAAGAATCGAGTCAATATATTGATGCCAATGTCTTAGAGCGCTATTGGAGCGTGGGCGGAGTTCGCATCGAAGACAACATTCATATTACGCAGGAGGGATATGAGAACCTGACCACAGCCCCCAAAGCCATCGAGGAGGTAGAAGGACTGGCACAGTGAACGCCGTATGTATGTTTCCAAACAACAGAGTAGTGGCCAATTGAGCGATACTATATTATCCTGTACACCATTAGAAGCCCTCGAACAGCTATCGAGTATTGTTGTACATGCCAACTTACAGGCCGCTCTGCAGCCGTTTCCTTCCACTTCCTTTGACACGGATTCAGCTTCCGCTCTATCCTGTGAACGTTTTCCCTTCTGATCAAGAACGAGACTCAGTACGTCAAAACAGAACTGCGGAACTTCAAGACACAGCTTCTTGAAATCTTCGTGACGCAAGACATGACTTCTCATCGCCCAGAATGAAGCTACTGGCTTCCTAATTGTGACATCGGTTATAGACGTATGAGTGTATACATACCGGGCGTAGGCTATTTCACCTTGGGAGGTGCTGTTGATACGGTGAATTTTGGAATGGGCGAGGGTCTTCAGAGGCGAGATACCAAGCTTCTCCGCTAGCGTGTAGACCCGTGCATGTTTTAACAACTGCTCGCCACTATCGTCAATTTCCCCTACAACGACTTCTTCTGTTGAGGTCCCGGTAGATGCGGCCGAGTAATTGCGCGTGTATTGGAATTGTAAGAAGTATCCAAAAGCTTCCACATTTTCGTCGGGAAGTTCGATGCGTCGCTGTTAAGTTTAGCAGATATTCTTATTTAACCGGACTGTTGTCTTACAGAGTTCGAGTCCTTGAAGGCCGCGACCGCCCCTGCAAGTAGCGGAGATTCTAAAAGCAGGCTTTGATGTGCGGTCAAGACTGTCTGGTCTTCTTTCGGCCCGATAGCAAGTTCAACGATAGGCGACGTGAGAAAACTGTTGTAAGGTAAGCTAGAAAGTTCTCTTGAAGGACAATGACCAGTTGGAGTACGTAGTGTAGGCGGGTTTATAATAGATTGACGCATAGAAGAAGATTCTTACTCGAGAAATTGAAGTCCAGGCTTCTTCTTTATCGAAGCTGGTTCCTCAGCCGGTTTCGGTTCTGCTTCTGCTTCTGTTTCCGGTAGAGGGGCGTCTTGATTTTGTTTTGTGTGGCCTTCGTTCGCGACATCTGCATTCTCGGTCGAGCCCATGATCACATCGGGCGCTTCATTATTCGAAGGATCCTGGGTATTCCCTCCGGCCTGAGCGGTTTCAGGACCGCTGACCTCTACTTAAGGCCTGTCCATTGGAAGGAATAGACTGCAACAAGCGCGTATACGGCAATGGAGGGAGGGCGGTCGGCGCAAAGGTGCAAAAGGTTGCGAGTGCGATAGAGATTGAAGTTGAGGGGGAGCAATTAGTGGCAAACAACGGGGCCAAACAGCAATGCAAATTGACCTGAATGTTTTATGATGGATAAAACAAAATCTAATGGATGCGTTGACGTTGACATTGACAAGAGACAAGATGAGCTCAAGCAAGAGCTTGGTGTTTTGATGCCCCGGATCACCAGGTACGGGACGGAGGCTGGGGCCAAGACGACCGACAGGCTAAGTAAAGAGTTCCTGAGGCTCCCTTTCCTACAAATGATAGAGTCAGCACTCTATTCACAGCCATCTTTATTTCTTGGGGGGTATATTTTTCAGTCACATTGGAGTCAATATGATCTTGTGTGATTATGACAACTCTTTTAACTTACTATAACTGGAGGGAGTAAACTTACTTTAAAAGCGTACCGTACTTACGGAGTACTGTACGGAGTTTGTATACCGAACGATGACAGGCCCACGTGACCGCTGTCATCCTCCGTCTGTAGCCGCCCAGCCGGTCCTGTCCCCCCACCTTGCTGAAATAACTGACTAGTAGGTAGAATTCAAGAGCGGAGTAAATCATAGGTAGATAGAAATTGTTGTTCTGCTCATTGTTGTATTTGGCGACCTTGTACCACCCTCCCACCCCGCACCTCAATTTTCCCTCCCACTTAAAATGGCGACCGTCAGCCACCCACGCAGAGACCCCAATACGCTGAGTAATTATGATAGCTGGGTGTCTACGCATATCACAGCAAACTTTGCGATCCTGTTCGATGAGAAGAAGCTTGCCGGAAATGTCGTCCACAAGCTCAAATCGACAACTGACTCGGAGTCTACCGAGATCATCCTCGACACTAACAATGTGAAGGTTGGGGGTGTGCATATCGATGGCAAACCTTCCTCAAACTGGGAGCTTCTTGCTCCACAGGAACCTTATGGAGCTGCGTTGAGGATAGTCCTTGATCACGGTGTCAATCGAAACGAGATCGTGATCCTCGACGTATGTGTTCCTTTTGAGCTTCCCACTATCTATAGCCCATTGATCTAACATGCAATTCAAATCAGATCGCAGTCGAGACAACTGAACGATGCACTGCGCTCCAATGGCTGACACCAGCCCAAACATCGAATAAGAAACATCCCTACATGTGTACGTCGATACCATTCTGGAAGCGAGAGGGGGTGAATTGTTAACACGCCATGTCTAGTCTCTCAATGTCAGGCAATTCATGCACGGTCCATTTTCCCGTGCCAAGATACGCCTGATGTTAAATGCACTTTTGATTTCAATATCGAATCCCCACTTCCTGTGATTGCTAGTGGCCTGTCGATTGACAAGGAAGAGCCGCAGTCCGGTAACGCAACGTACCATTTCCACCAAAGAGTGCCGATCCCTACTTATCTGTTCGCCCTTGCTAGTGGGTAAGTGATTCCAACATCCTGTTAACTAAATTGGTAATATTCAAAGCTTACTCAATTGATGACAGTGACATCTCAGAGGCCACTATCGGACCCCGGAGCGCTGTTGCGACAAGCCCTGACAAACTCCAGGAATGCCAATGGGAACTTGAAGCGGATACAGAGAAATTTATTCATGCGATCGAGGTTTGCGCGCTAGTCAAGGGAACCCAACGTTGTCACCTTCCTAATACACGTTTCTTAGGCAATTGTCTACCCCTATGTTTGGGGTAGATATAATGTACTGATCCTACCGCCGAGCTTTCCGTACGGTGGCATGGAGAATCCAATCTTCACATTCGCGACTCCTAGCATCATCTCCAAGGTTACTAGACCCCCTGCAAAACCCGCACCTAGGTACTAACCTAACATACAGGATAGGGAAAATGTTGATGTTATTGCGCACGAGCTCGCGCATAGCTGGAGCGGTAACCTGGTTACCAATGCCTCTTGGGAACACTTCTGGTTGAACGAGGGCTGGACAACCTATCTGGAGAGACGGGTATGTTCCTGGTTCATGATGTCTTCCCCATGCACGCTTCCTAGGAAAAGAATACTGCTAACTGCTGGTTACACATTAGATATTGGCTGCCGTGTAAGTACTTCAGGCACCTAAGCTTGTTCAACCTAGCCATATTGACCGGTCATAGCCATGGCGAACCATACAGACATTTCTCGGCCATCATAGGCTGGAAGTCGCTTGCTGATTCCGTGGAGCACTTTGGGCATGACCACGAGTTTACCAAACTAATCACTGACCTTAAAGACAAGGACCCTGATGATGCATTTTCAAGCATCCCTTATGAAAAGGGATTCAACTTTCTGTATCATTTGGAAACGTTGGTGGGAAAAAATAAGTTTGATCAGTTCATCCCTCATGTGAGCTTGCTACCTATTTCCAGATACTGAAGTGTCACTGACTGATATGTCTCTGTTCCAGTACTTCATGACCTTCAAAGAAAAATCCCTTGATTCATACCAATTCAAATCGACAATCTTGGATTTCTTCCAATCCGATGCGGAAGCCTCCAGATTGCTAAATGATCTCGACTGGGATACTTGGTTTTACGCGCCTGGATTGCCACCCAAGCCCAAATTTGATACCTCGCTTGTGGATGTTGTATACGAGCTATCCAGCAAGTGGAAGTCACTTCCTCAATCATCCTTCAAGCCTCAGCCGAGTGATATCAAGGATTTGACTGCGAACCAAGTCGTCGTATTTTTGGAACAAATTTTGCTCGGAAACCCCCTTACACCTGACCTGTCTAGGCTCATGGGCCAGATATATGGATTTGCCTCAAGTGAAAACATTGAGGTCTCAAATCTCTATTTTCAAGTGGGCCTGAAGGCTCGGGATGAAAGTGTGGTTGAACCGACCGCAGAATTACTAGGAAGGATTGGGAGAATGAAATTCGTTCGACCGCTGTAAGCATTTTCTGTGTTTGGTTGGGCATGACGGAGTTCCTCGCTGACTGGTTCCAACAGCTACCGAAATCTGCAGAAATTCAGCAGAACCCTTGCAGTTGACACCTTCGAGAAACACAAAGAGTTCTACCATCCTATCTGTCGAGCCATGGTTGAGAAAGACCTATTCGGCAAGGGGGCGACGTAAATTGACGGAGAAAGCCGCGTCATTTGTTGTACCCGACTGATTTAGGAACATGTCCAGCCATGGGCTCTTTCCTGGAATAGGGGAGAAACCTGAATGTCCAATATTAAACCGATTCTACTGCAAATATCTCAAGCCCCTGCGCAAGGAAGCGCCGGATTTCTGCTCTTAGTGGCTTGGTCAATATGGACTATAAAACTTTCCCCTGCTATGAAATGCCGGGTATGATATTAACTGCCTCGTTTATTAAGATACTGTCCTGCAATAGGACAAAAAATAGTAAGACAACGAGAAAAGAAAAGGGCTGGAGGGGAAGGGTTGATAATACAGGGGACTGGAGGATGGGCTCTATCCAGACCCGTAGTTCTTGTTTATTCGTGCCTCTGGTTGTCAACAGGGAGGAAACTATCGCTTCGCATCCACCATAGATCGGTCAGAGGCAGATTTGCCAAATATGGCGGGCTTCTCTTTACTCGGGCGATTCAACTGGAAGATCAAGTCGGCTTCGGTCACCTGCGAAAGCTCCGATGTTACTCGTCGCATATAGGAGACAACACAAGCAACCTTCGCCCAGTCCAACTCATTTCCATCAGCTTCTGTGTAGCTTGCTTTCCAAAGGTTTCTCCAAACTGCCGCCCCTAGGACAGCATCTCCTTTCACGAGACCCTCGTCATAGGCCGCTAGGACACCCCGCCACTGGATGAACAGATCTTTCAGAAACTTATTTCGAATGGCACGACTGGTCAAGCCATGAAGAACATCCATTCTGTGTTCAGCATTGTGAGAAAAGTGATCAATCAAGTGCCTCGAATATGTCTGGAAACTCTCGTGGGATGGCAAAGCTCGCAACCGGACTGTCAGGAGGTACATGTGGAGAAAGGTGACTTGTGACCAGGTCGAAAACGTTGGAAGGAGGCCCAAATCTGTCCTCGATCAGTTAGCTCTATCACTTGGTAATGGAAAACCATCTTGCCGGCAACACACCTTCGTACCACCACCCTACCCCAACGCCGAGATCTTCACCAGCTGCAGTCTTGGGTACTTGAGCCCCCCTTTGTGATACCTGAGGGATACTGTAATCTGCCTGCACAGAACAGGCCTCAAATATCTTCTGTGTCATTCCATAAGCCACATACGTCTCTGCGGCTGTACCCTGACGCGGCATAACAGCTTGTGCTAGTCGTGAGGAGTCCCTGTGCAGAACGAAGCCGGGGCGTGACAGTGTCATTGGCTGGAAGGGTTGACCTGCGCGACGCGAGGAGAGAGATTTCCGATCGTTATCCGAAGAGGTGACATGATGGCTGAGGGCTTTGGATGAACTCGACGATTTGTAGATGGCATGCGCCTGGCGCTCTCAGATTAGTGGCGATCCTTGAGTAGATTTTCTTGTCGATGCACTGGCATACCTGGGGTCTCGAGCATTGAGGACTACAAAGCCCTCGGGTTCCTGAGTTGATGGCCAAATTCCTGGGTAGCATTTTGCAAATCATTACTCGAAATTTTGTGACTTTGACGTATTGCCACAAACCTATCGGAGGAGAATGAATGAATGGGTTTTAGTGGTCGATCCCATGTTTGCACTGTTTGACACCGAGTTACACCGGCGATCTACTATTTACGGTACCTACCTACTCAGGCACTTGGACAGTTTTCACCACATCACACCCTAATGAGTGTCATGGACAAGACTCTAGAGTCTAGTGGTGCCTTCGTATTGTTATCCTACCTTCCAGATCAACGTCGCACAGTCATGGTGTTGAATACCCACACCAAACTTTCTCATGAACGGACATATTGAAATCGCTCGAACATGCGATAACACATAATACGAGAAGATTACCAAAATTAGAGAGCTAGGCGGTCAAAGAAATGCTATTGGTTTCTAGGTAGGCTTGGTTTCCTGTCCATGTAATGACTGAGTCTCTATTTGGCCGATTATACCTCGGGGTACATGCTTGAGGGTCATGTAACAACTAAATATAACAAAAGAAACATCATCGTTCTCTCCCCTCGGATTTTTTTTTTGGCGCCGATCTGATCAAATTCGAATTGCTCTCAACTTGCGATTGACTTATCGACAACGCTGCATTTGTTGTTGAGCAAAATTCTCAGGCCATTTACCGGAGAAAAGTGCTTATTTCAGCTTGTCAAAGCTTCAGCATTGAGCAAGACGAAATGTTCTGCTTTGTATCTTACCAATCACAGAAGATGACAGCAAAAACGTCTCTAGGTCAAACACGCCTAACTTTCCGCGGTGAGTTTCCCACTTACTGACATAAATTGAAGGAGTTGGCGGTGATACACATATATTCGTGCCGCTCATTCATGCAAGTGTCCGAAGGAAAGTGCACTTGTAATATGTAGTATTCAGTGGTTGGGACATGTAGAATGCAGGATTGAGGTGTCCAAATTTAGACAACAACGTCTCCGAGAGGTGAATGTCAACGGTAGCAAGCTCAGATCCTATCAGAGCTAAGTACAATAGTGTGATGGTGTCTTCGTTCGCTAACACAATCTTGGCCTAGCAAGTTTCGAATTGACTTGCTAGGGCATGCGCTCATCTGCATCGAAGCGATCGTGGAGCCCTCATATTTGGAAAAAAGAGGTGGCTGGTAGGAGTTTCATGTTGATCAAGTCTTCTGTCTTCTTCTCAACGTAAGAGGATAGCTGGCCGCGGTACTCTATTAATGCAAGCACTTCTAATTTTTCAAGCGGACCCGTTCTAAGCGTTTCTCAAGAAGAGGCAAAGCTTCTGACAGTCTATTTGGGTCTCTCATCACGGCTGGAACGTCATCTCTAGTAGCTGCTAATACCTATGTGCAATCTGTTAGCTTTGAGTTCTTCTATTTGATTGTCCCTGTATAGTTGGGGATATACCCGTCGAACGGTCGCGTAATCGCATTCTTTGGACTGATATTCTCGAATCACCTCCATACTCTCAAAATCAACATACACCCTCGTATCTCTGAGACGAACCAGGACATTGTCAAGCCTCATAAAGAGCCTCGACAACAGTAGCAGTCGCTTGGGCATCACACGAATCTTGCACGACAGCGTCGTGATACCATTATCAGCGAGTTCGTCTTCGTATAATATGACTTCGTCAAAGAACAAAATAGGGTCGGGACGTTTAAGTAACTCGACGGGAATCTGTTTCTCGGTTGCTTCAAATGGTAGGCTTCGAGGGTGAATAGTACCCAGATAATCCGTGCTATAAGACCAGTCGAAAGGTTTGACAACTTCCTTGATGCCCTCATGCGTTTTCTCCCTATTTTTCCTAGTCAGACATCCATGGAAAAAGAGCTACAAGGTCAGGATTGGCTTTACCTGCTTCTCTGCCACTCGTTCGAATATGCAACCTTCAGCATCGACGCACCCGTTTTGTCTACACGATCTAGAGCGTCGAATGCGTTGAATGTTATTCCCCAGTCCCCATTCTCTTGCTCTATCGTAACATAGTTATCTCCAAAGATCATCTCCGGCGGCGCAATGCCTAGCCTTTGGGTCATGTCTTCGATCGGATCGGCTTTTAGTATGGGACGTTTTTGGGTGGTGATTTTGAACCCCATGACGGAGATAGTATTGGGATTTGAGTCTATGAGAGACATTGCGGCCGAGTGTGTTGCTTTTTGCCTTCCCTGCCGAGGTCGTAAGATCACCGAGTGCACCTGGAGCTTGAGTTATTATTATCACTGCACCCCGAACGTGGTCCCGGACATGCATCTGATGTGAATGCCATACCCCGCGGCTTCGGAGAAAAAGGCGGACCGACTGGTTACCCCGGTGATGAGTCTAGCAACTGGCCCCGATAAACAGCGGGTCAGCTGGAGCTTCAAGTTCCCTTCCTCTCCCGTTCGTTCTATTCATCTCCTACATCCAAACACCTAATTCATTTCCTCATCCGACGAGTACAGAAAAGGCTATGTTATAAGAAATCGCCCAACTCCGCAATTGATTCATTACTTCTCTCGCCCTCTCCCTTGTGTGCTTTCATCCCCTCAACGCATCACAATGTCTACCAAGACGCTGGAGGCTCGTCTCGAGCACCTCTCGGTTAAAGATGAAAACGGGTCCGGGAGTAAAGTGGGCAGCTATACAAAGCACAAGGTAATTGCACACATTTCAATACGGTCGCATGGCCAGCTAATGATGTGCTTCAGAGCTCTTTATCAACGGCGACCTCCCTTGCGGGCCTCGGGACTTCCGCGCAGTTGAATAACGGTTCGAACAGATCCAACCTGCTCAAGTTGGCTCTGCAAAACACCAATGACAATAAGGTCAATTCGATGAATGTCGGATCTTCCCCTACAAAAGCCAATTTACCGAGTCGCAATGTCGACGAGAATGGAGATCAACGGCATGCACTTTACGAACAACCGTCGCCCAAGAATCTACACCTGGGAATGTTTGAGATTGGCAAGCCGTTAGGAAAGGGAAAGTTTGGACGAGTATATTTGGCCAAGGAACGATCGTCGGGATTCGTGTGTGCACTCAAGGTACTGCACAAGTCCGAACTGCAGCAGGGTGGAGTGCAAAAACAAGTCAGGCGCGAGATTGAAATCCAAAGCAATCTGCGCCACCCTAACGTGCTTCGGCTCTATGGGCATTTTCACGACAGCAAGCGCATCTTTCTCATTTTGGAATTTGCCGGTCGAGGCGAGTTGTATAAACACCTTCGCAAGGAGCATCGTTTTCCCGAGTGGAAGGCTGCCCAGTATATCGCTCAAATGGCCGCAGCCCTAAAGTATCTGCACAAAAAGCACGTTATGCATCGAGATATCAAGCCTGAGAATATCCTGGTCGGAATTCATGGCGAAATCAAAATCAGCGATTTCGGTTGGAGTGTCCATGCGCCTAACAACAGGAGACAGACGATGTGTGGTACATTGGATTATCTGCCCCCAGAGATGCTGAAGCCTGGCTCCCAGGACAATTTCTACAGCGAGAAAGTTGATCTGTGGAGCTTGGGTGTTTTGACGTACGAATTTCTGGTTGGAGAAGCGCCTTTTGAAGACACCCCTGTCATGACACAGCGAAGGATAGCACGGGCGGATATGTCGGTCCCTTCATTCGTGAGCCCAGAGGCGAAGGACCTGATCAAACGGGTATGTCCACCCATGCATTCTAATAAACATCTGCTTACATTTCTTAGCTCCTCGTTCTTGAGCCAGAGAAACGGATCTCCCTGGATGAGATCCAACGGCATCCCTGGATTCTCAACCACTGCGTCAAGGAGGAGAAAACCATGAAAAGAAGCTCTGGATTGTCCAAATATGGTAAAGCCTAAACCGTTCATGCATCTGCCGGGGTTCTGGTGTTCGAATGTCGATTTCAAAGGGTCAAGTCACACTGCATAGGGTTTTTCTGTTTATCTTTTGCCTCACATGGAGTTTTAAGTCGTTTTGGGTCGGAGTTGGAACTTGGTCTTGTGCATTCCTCAGCCCAAATATAGGCGTTATAGGGGTTTCTCAAGTGCGAATATTGAATGATAATACAATCATTCCTTCAAACAGACAGGAATTAAAAGAGAAATACATGAGGGGAGGGTATATATATATACGGTATCATCGATAAATCTCATCGAAAGGTCGCGTGTCCCGGAAACAACTGTCCCAGACCTCATTGACGACTCTGGTCGCATGCGCCTCGTCTTTGCATGTGGGTCTTGCCCGCACTGATAGAATGGCCCTTCTCCGCACACATTCCTGATGTTGTTGCGTGAACTTCCATTGACCTCGACGAAAGAACTCTCGCGCCCATCTGCATTCACCGCTGAGTGAACTGGCGCGAATCTGCAAATAAGGTTAATTCACTTGACCTCGAGCTGCAAAAGGAACTAAACCTATGCTCACCTCTGTACAGGCAGCGTGTCGAAGATTGTCCGTCCAGTTGACTTTGAACCTAAGATGGTCAAAAGCATGAACCATTTCATGGGCCATTGTGTCCTCAAGGTGTCCTTGATCTTTCATTTCGTTTGCACAAAGAAGTATTCCGTACTCGGGGTCAAACCCTCCCGCTTTTCTATTCGTGCATCGACGGCAGTAGATATTATGGCTGGAAAGGTCACCTCCGAGTTGTCGAATGCCATCGCTCAAATAGCGGATGACAGGGCCTACAATCAAATCCCTTTAGCCACTGATCTTAACATAGACGAGAATTTAAGACGCACTCCATTGTAATAGGTAATCTCGCTGGTCCTCACAGCGTTTGCAATCCGCAGCCTCATTCCGAATATCTCTTGCCACGCGGAATTCTTCCTTTCCCTTGTCCGTCATCTTCCCCGACAGGATAGCAAAAACGTTGCGCCATTGGGTCCATGTATCGTCACCTGGTATAAACCCTGTATCGCGGGAGCTATCTGAAGGCGTCGCCGTGCTTGAAGACTGAGAGTCTGGCATGGTGGGAAAGAAATTGGAGCTTCGAGCTGATGTCGAGGTGAAACGGTCCAGCAAGATCGGGGGGAGCTCCGCGGACGAGCAAGCAGAATTTCGCCGCGCTTCTCCGCATCGGCGGTGACAATAGGCAGAAAAGGGCTGATGCCAATGAAACCGTCTAATTGAATCATTGAAATGAGTTTAAAAGCGGGGGTCCACGAAATAAGCAGTCTTGCCTATCCAGAGGCTCTGCCTTGGACGTTAATGTAACTTCTTGTTGAATCAAGTAAAGTTAACATCACAATGGTCTCTTCACGATTGACTATCGTTATCAAACTAGGTGCGAGAAGCCTGTTTCCCTTGGGAGCTGGACATGGATGACGCTGACTCTTTCGCTACAGGGACAAGTTCTATTGTGGATGAGAACACGCATGAACCTATCCTCTCAATTCTCACCCTTATAGTTGAGACTGTTGCCAAACTTCATCGGGATGGCCACAATGTCGTCCTTGTTTCTTCTGGTGCTGTGGGCGTAGGACTGAGGAGAATGGATGTGGACGAGAGACCAACCAATCTACCCCGCATTCAGGTATAGACGATGTGCTCTTTTCAAGAAGGTGGAGTCTCTCAGGCTAACTCTATCCTCAGGCGCTCGCGGCTGTGGGACAGTGCAGGCTTATGAGCCTTTGGGACGGGTTATTCTCACACCTTAGGGTGCCAGTGGCCCAGATTCTTTTGACCAGGAATGACATCGCAGATGTAAGGCACCTGGTGGTTGTCAATACAGGAGACGCAAATTCTAATCTTTGAACAGAGAACACAATATGGGAATGCCCAGAATACTTTCGGGCAGCTGTTTGACATGGGCGTAATTCCTATTGTCAATGAGAATGACACTCTTGCTGTTTCAGTACGTTTCTGTTCGCCTCTCCTATCCCTTGTAGGCAGAACTAACACGAAATCTGTCTAGGAAATCAAATTTGGTGACAACGACACATTGTCTGCCATCACAGCCGCCATGGTCAAAGCTGATTACCTTTTCCTGATGACGGACGTTGACTGCCTTTACACTGCCAACCCACGCCACAATCCCGATGCGCGCCCAATCGAAGTTGTCACCGATATATCTTCGCTGGAGGCGGATGTCTCCTCGGCTGGCTCATCTTTAGGTACTGGAGGCATGAGTACCAAGATTGTGGCAGCCAAGCTGGGCACAAGTGCCGGCGTGACGACAATCATTACCCGGAGCTCAAAACCTGGAAATGTTCATGAAATTGTCAAATACCTTCAGCGAATTCAAAATGTCTCTCATACTCAGTCTGCAGCTGCGGACGAAGAAGGGAACACGATTCCGGCGCCTCCTTTGCACACGCGGTTCTTACCCTCCGAGGATCCCATACAATCCCGATCATTCTGGCTACTTCATGGATTAAAGCCACGAGGAACGATATTCATCGATCAGGGTGCATTTATCGCCCTCCAGAATAAAGCCAACCTCCTTCCTGCTGGAGTTTCGGATGTGGATGGTACTTTTGCGCAGCAGGAAGCGGTCCGGGTCGTCGTGATCCAAAAAATGTCCCCAGATTCACTCAACGGCGACTTCCTACACCATGGCCAAGAACCCAAGGAGGTCGGTCGCGCATTGGTCAATTACAGTAGTCATGAAATCGCGCGCATCAAGGGTCACAGGAGCAGTCAAATACAATCGTTGCTGGGATACGCAGACAGCGAGCACGTTGCTTTCCGAGAAAACATCTCTTTTTGGTAGATGTTTCCCCCCCGGCAAAGCAAAAAGTCATCAGTAGACAAATCCGACCGACTACTTCACCGCGTCAAATCAGACCGGACCTTAGTTTCTTTTGGTGTTGGTTCAGGCTTAGGATAATCCGCCAACGGATTGATTCTTGCACATATACACATGATGTCCTAATTATTTGACTCGTTGACATGGTCGAGCCACGATTGCAACGGCAATTACAAGATAGACGAAAGATCACATTATTATGAGACACGACCCCAATTTCTATCAAGTATCTAAGTGTCACAGATACCCCAAATGTTGTGGGGACGAAGCGATTCATAGCTCAGCCTTTGCAACCCAATACATATTCATACATATCGCTAAGCCTAGTCTTTCCACCTCGCTAAGAACTTTTTCATTTCCGCGTCCTCGGGATGAGGAGCCGGCGACGCCTATGACGCATATCAAGTATTGTTAGATGCTTAGAAACAAACGATACTAACAAGGCAGGGAAGGTCCATGCTTCGCATACCGTATTCTCAATGCTGACCACAGAATATGTTCGAGTAGCCGAGATTGTGGCCTGGACTGTGGGCGCAGCAAGGTATGTCGTCGCAACGCTATATGAGCTGGTTGGGAACTGGGGAGTCGGCGACTTTTCAGGGATTGTGCTACCGGGCTTCTTCGCCATTGGCGCATATCTTGTTGGGCCAGTCTGCAGATGATATGGGATAGTATAAGCCCCTATAGCCTGCCTTTTACGCAGGTCTTGGAGCGCGCCGTTGTCGCGCCCGGTGACTGTAAACTGATGCGAATGACTGACGACCGAGACGTCTGTTCCCGAGGCGGTCATTTTCAGAAAACTGCGAGGCGATAACGAAAACACCGTGGTTAGTCGAGAAGATTCACACGTCCACCTGGTAGACTATCCGGCTGGGTTGCTCGTACTATGCTTCTGGTTCTTCGTCGCCAACATCTGGATTGATTTGGAAAGACACCGAATTGCCGCGCGCAAAGACGCCTCCTTGGATCAAGAGGGCTACTTCTTCCTGTATAACCATGTTTCAGTCAGTTGGTGATCCCAAGCCAGTAATGCATGAGAATCCAACACGGAACCTACATCTGGACCGGGTGCACCCCAAAGAGCACAAAGATAGAGATCGTATTGTACGAGTTCCGAGATGCGAGGAGAAGCCCCGGAGTCTTTCCAATGCGCCGTTACGACATGCCCTGCTTCCAGGACTGCGCCGGGCGCTGGTTCGGTGAATTCGATATCTGCCAAAGCAGTTTGAAGGACAGTACAGGCCAAGAATAGTAAACGGGTGACTTTCATGGTAACAGAGCTAGGTAGTGACTATGGAGGTTGATAGAAGATGAGTCCCCTCAAGAGACAGAAGGATGAGCAGAGAAAGAAATACATGCATAACCATAACAAGGTCAATCCCTGGGGGGTGGAAAAAGGTTGACACCCTACCAACCACCCCTTGCGAGCCATTGGCATGTAGGCTGGTATGGCCCTACTGCCAATTTGCTTGCCCTCTCAGGCGTGTTGATTCCTTGCTCCAGACAGGTTGAACTTACAGCCAGATTGCCAGGCCAATGAACAAGATGTTCGGCACATGATACGGGGCACATATGGTGCATCCATGAAGTCGAATCGATTGAGTGGAGCTCGTTGTTCATGGCAGGTCGGGTCTGTCAGTCTCCGGGCGGAGCTGCGGCGCATTGCCGGATCCAGGCTCCAAGGCAGCCAAAGGGTGGCATGATCATTGCGGCCATCAACTAGCGATACTTTGCCGAATTTCAAACATCCAACGACCAAGTCGGGCCAACGTTTGGCTTGACGATGATTACAACCCGGTTCCTGGCGAATATCCAGTTCTAGACCGCACTCGATCTTCTCACCTCGTGACCCTTCTGTTCTCCTGCTCTCGTCGCCCTATTCCATCAACATGGGCAGCCATGCGGATTGGAGGTCCGTCAGTGGCATTGCTACAAGTTTACTCGACGGCAATCCGATTGCCATTGCCGTTACCGTTTTCATAGCCTTTGGACTACCGGTCTTGCTGCATCTGATATTCTACCAAACCGTCGCGACTCCACCGTCTAGCAATTTCCTGCTCCTTGGACCGAGTGGAGCAGGTAAGACTGCTCTCTTGTCCCTGGTAAGTCGGCCTGTGCTTAACAGCATGCCTAACTAAGCCTTTCAAGCTTTCGAAGGATGAACATGCTGACATGATCTTGGAACTAGCTCGAAGCAAAATCATCTCCCCGTACGAAGAAATCCCCCGCTACGCATACGTCCCAGACCTCTACCTTTGCCACGGTCAGTCTTCCTGCTTCCGTCCCCACCGCTTCGAACCGGTACCGGTCCGTGAATGATCCCTCCTTGGAAGATGTGTCTCGGAACCCTCTCAAGTACCGCGTGAAGGACACTCCTGGCCATGGGAAACTCCGCGAGTCGCAGGGACTTTCGGAGCTTCGCTCGATGTCGTCATCCAAGGACAACAAGTTCAGGGTTCGGGGCGTCTTGTTTCTGGTCGACACTGCGGCCATGTCTGAAGCCGACGCACTACGCGATACAGCTTCCTATCTTTACGACGTGCTCCTAATCCTCCAGAAACGTGCTCTGAAGAAGGGACGGTCTTCGATGAAGGCGGCTTCTGAAATTCCCGTTCTTGTCGCCGCCAACAAACAGGATCTCTTTACGGCTTTGCCCGCGAGATCTGTGGAAGAAAAGCTGGAGGATGAGATTGACAGAATCCGAAAGTCTAAGACCAAGGGCATCATGGATGCGAACGCTGATCAGGGCGGCAATGAGGATGAGGATGATATTCTGGGCAGTAGCGATGTCCGAACCTCCTTCAACTTCAAACTTTTGCACGACGAAGTGGGCTTGAAGGTCGACGTTGTCGGTGGAGCTGTCAGGGGTGACGAGGGCAATGACATTGGAGCTGGTGCTAGGGGATGGGAAAACTGGATCGGCCAGTGTCTGTGATTAGTCGCAGACGGTTATGGATATTGCTGTGTGCTCGTGTGAAGAGTATAGTATATTTGAATAAGTGAACGAATAAATAAAATGGTAATGAATTCAAAACCCTTGCAAGGTGAATGCACTTGCATGTTCATTCATATGTCAGTGACTCCACAAACACCATTTATTCCCTACCCTCTTGGGCTTGTCCAGCCCAAAACAATGCATAGTTGAGCTTCTATTGAATGCAAACCAAACAGCTATTAACAATTGCCAATTAATCCCCTGCCGAAACTTGTCTCGAGTAACCATAGGAATTTTGTCTTCCACATCTGATTCAGGAGGCATGCTTATTGTGGTGGAGCATCCAGCTGAGCAGATCAACCTTCGTGACAACTGCAACTGGCTTCATCGCGCCCTGTTCATCTTGCTCGGTGACAATAGCTGCGCTGTTCCATTCGAAGAATCGATTGAGAACGCTCAATGGGGTGTCCATCGTGATCTCCACAAACTTGCGGTCGCGGACCTTCGAGCTTCGAGCTGCACCGGATCCATTGCCGCCGGAGCTGGCCAATCCCATATCTCTGGGGTCAGTAACAACTTCTGGGATATTGCTGAAGTTGAACATCACGTCAGCAACGGGGCTCTTCCCCGTGGCCCGTCCATGCGTCAACCGGCTGAGAACGTTTCCAAGAGTGACCAGCCCGACAAGCTTCTTTCCAGAGGGTGCCAGAACAGGGAGTTGATCAAAACCTCTGTCCCGCATGACTTCGATGGCGTTCTCACAGGGTGTATCGGATCGGACGGTGGTGATCGGCTTCAGCCTCAGAGAGTTGACCTTGGATTCAGCAAGCTCATCGTTTTGTTCCTGCGGCGCTGGGGTTGGGGCGTTTAGAGATGGCGACGTCAGAAGTCCATTCGCAGCGAGCCAGTCGTCGTCGGCGAACTAGTGACAAAGGGTTAGAAGCCGGACATCGAGGTAATATACTGGGAGGAAATTCCGGTGTTTTACCTTGGTGAGATAACTTCTGATGCTGTCGGGCAGAACCACAACGACCACATCACCCTTCCCAAAGTTGTTGTCTTTGGCAGCCTGCACAAGGGCCGAAATAGCGCTTCCACTGCTTCCACCAACAAGAAGACCCTCCTCGGCGATCAAACGTCTGGCGTGTTGAAAAGATTCCTTATCTTCTGTCTTGTACCATTTGTCGACAGCCTCGCGGTCGAGAACTTCGGGAATGAAATCGTACCCGATACCCTCGACCTTGTAGGGCTCGTTAACATGCTCGTCGTTGAGAGAAGGTGGGAGAGCCAAGATGGAACCCTGCGGATCCGCCCCAATCACCTGGACATTGGAGTTGTGCTTCTTGAGACCCCGAGCCAGCCCGGTGATTGTGCCACCAGTTCCGGCGCCGGCGACGATCGCCTTGATTTGTCCGTTCGTCTGGGTCCAAATCTCCTCAGCTGTGCCGAACTCGTGAGCCAACGGGTTGTTTACGTTGCTATATTGGTCCAAGATGTGGGCATTCGGCAGCTCCTTTTCGAGGCGCTTAGCGACACCGATGTGAGATTCAGGCGAGTCATAGGCGGCCTCGTTAGGCGTACGAATGATAGTCGCGTTCAGCGCTCGCAAAACGGCCACTTTCTCGGCGGACATCTTTTCGGGAAGCGTGATGATTGTCTTATAGCCTAGCGGTCGGACATAGAAGAGTCAGCGAATATGCTGGCGAAGTACAGGAAAAATAAGATATGACTGACCTTTCACGGCCGCGACAAGCGCGAGACCAATACCACTTCATGCAGCCTTGTTAGCCTGGCATAGAAACGAGTGGTGAGATCAACATGAGTGACATACGTGTTTCCACTGGTGGGTTCAATCAAAGTATCGCCGGGCTTGATACGACCCGTACGTTCGGCCTCCTCGATCATGCGCAGGGCGATTCTGTCCTTAACACTTCCACCAGCATTGAAATATTCCAATTTCGCAAACACCGTCGCCTCGATCCCCAAGCTCTGGGGCAGTCTGTTCAGGCGCACTAAGGGAGTGTTGCCGATGTGCTGGGTGATCCTGTCCAGAGCCACCGGAGGGATGGCGGGGGAGGTAATCGACGACATGGCGACGGAGACAATGAAAATCGTGGAGGATTCTGTAGCTAACGAAAGAGAAATCTAAGATATCATGCGAAAGTGTATTAGGGTCAGATAAAGTATAGATAAACAAATCCAGGCGTTGGAGAGATAAGAATGGGACCATACGCCCTGTAAGTCGCAATCCTGGGAAAAAATCTCACGACTTTTCCCCTCCCGACGGTAGCCGACCTTCATGTTTTGATTAGTCAGCTCACGTGAAGTCAATGGGTCGGAGAGGAACAGGAAAAAAGTAAATAAAGCAAACCGTACTCAGTACGAGCAATCGGGCCATGCCTAACCATACCGCCCCCTGGGTCCTGGGAGTCCCTTGACTCCCTTCGCTTCCTTCAATAACTATCCAGCATTCTGTGGGGTCCTGAGGCTCCGCCAAGCGCCGGAGTAGATCGATCGTTGGCTGTGTCTTTAGTTAATGCCTAGTGCCTCACTGCCTACACTGACAGAGTTTGTGTACTCCGTAGTACCTGCGGTGTAGAATGTAGATACTGATAGTGGTTTTACAGGAAATAGTAGTTGGTCCTTTCCATCAGACTCGACGAGTTATCTAAGTGAACTTGGGGACTTAGAATCTATCTCGGTTGGATCTCACTGCGAAGACTACGATTTCAAGACGACGCGAGGCAGCCAAGCGACTTGCAAACATCCAAGAAGCACTAAGTCCCCGTCATCTGGGCTTGCCAAGGTTTCAGAACGTGCACATCAATACGCACCGCAGGCTGTTGGGGACCAGGGGTGCTTTATGGAGAAGGAGAACAAACAGATGGCCTGACATCCGTCAAAACCAAACTCTCGTTCAGATATTTATCTCCATTCATCCCGAAGGTAAGTACCTACATCGTCCACTGTATGTACTGGATAGGTAGGTGGGCATGTCTATCGCGCCAACACGAGGTTTCGTTCTGTATCCCGTACGGTTTATCTCACGCATTGCTAATATTAATTAATATTGTTATTTTATGATTTGACCCCAAGTCTCAGCGCTAACGGCCAGCGCATCCACCGTGCACTTCGGTTTTTTGCGTCGCTGCAACACATCTTGCACTTCTTTCGCCCGTTCTTAGACGCGTCGCCCAATACTGACATTTATCTGTCTTAGACTCATGGTAGTACCATAACATCTCTTAACTGAGCCTTTTTTGGTTTCCATCTCCTCGTCCTCTCCTCTCATTTCTTTCGATTTCCCCCCCCGCCCTTGTCTTCGAATCTGATACCTCACTTTCCCTCTTCGATGCTGCTGCCATTTCTCATGATCTAACAAGACATGAGGAGCTAATTCGCTGTACCTTCGTTCTGCCATCCTCGACTAACGGATCTGACCCTCCGACCCTTCTCAACTTGAAATGGAAAGTGCCAAAGAGGAACCCCATGCCCGACAAGAGAGCGCCAAAGTTGACGGAGGCGTGCTGAATACCACCGCCCCCAATCAAGCATCAAAGCGATCGGAGTCTGTGTTGCCCACACACATCAACGATGGACTCCAACGAGGCCTGGTGCGCATTAGCACGGCAGGGGAGAGTGGGAGAAGTGGAATACACCCAGTTCACTTCTTAAAAGTCTGCTTCATGAGTACTTGCACACTATCAATGTTGGTCAATGTCCTATGGCCGTTCGTGCCGGCGGCTATCGCGATTTACTTTGCTCGTCCGGATCTTCATGTCTGGGTCTTTGCTCTCAACTATATCGCAATGGTTCCTTCGGCCAACCTGCTGGGATTTGCGGGCGGGGAACTGGCAAAGAAGCTGCCTAAGGTTTTTGGCGTGCTGTTGGAGACCTCGCTGACATCGGTTGTCGAGATTGTTCTTTTCATGGTTCTGATCCACAATGATGAAGGTGGAAACCTTATACCTGTCATCCAAGCTGCTATCTTAGGATCCATTTTGGCGAACCTCTTGCTCTGCTTGGGCCTGTGCTTTTTCTTTGGTGGTATTGGCCGGGAGTATCAGTCCTTCCACGAAGCCGTGAGCGAGGTGGGCACGGGGCTCTTGCTCGTTGCCGGCTTTGGGCTTTTAATCCCGAGTGCTTTCAATGCGGCATTGAGCGGGAGCTCATCGAATACCGAAATCACCCCCGAAGAGTTGATGCACTCCACCCTGGTCATCAGCAGATCTACCTCGATCGTCCTTCTGGTCGCATTTGTGATGTGAGCTACAGCCGTTCTGCATTGTAGCTTGGAGTTATTGTTAGCTCACACGATCATCTAGGTACTTATTCTATAACTTGCACAGCCATCACAGCATATTTGACGAAGTGCTCGAGTTTGATGAGCATCTAGACGAAGATCGAGAGAAAGAACTCAAGCGAGCGAAGCTCACACTGACGGAGTGCATTTTAGCTATTGTGATAGCTCTGGCTTGCGTCTGCTTATCGGCTGTCTTCCTGGTCCAGGAAATTGAAAGTATCGTCCATGAGAATCATGTGTCGGATAACTTCATGGGTCTGATTCTAGTGCCGCTGGTCGAGAAGGCCGCGGAGCATTTGACTGCCATCGATGAAGCCTGGTTCGTTAGCTCCGCTGGATATGAGGATAAATTGTTGACTTTCCATAGGGATAACCAAATCAATTTCGCCCTCTTTCACTGCCTTGGGCCATCGATTCAAACCGCTTTTCTCAACGCGCCGCTTGCGGTTCTGGTAGGCTGGGGTCTCGGCAAAGACATGGATCTGAATTTTGAGATTTTCATGATTGTCCTTTTGGTGCTATCGATCCTAGTCGTGGGTAATTTTCTGCGTGATGGCAAATCAAATTACCTCGAAGGGGGCCTCTGCGTTTTGATCTATGTGATCATTGCCGTATCTACTTGGTATTATCCGGCAGTCAAACGTGGAGAATCAGCCCATTAGAGAGATAGGATAGTATAGATAAATAGATGCATAACATTGCTAAGCGATCTAATCATTAGATATTGAGGGCTGGTGGTTGTAGTAAATAGAGTGTGTAGGGTAGTTTGTGCTCGGGCGGGGCGGAAAGATACCATGATCCACCGGGTTGGTCCGAAAGTTATCGGGCATCTAGCAGCATCAGCTGGACTTCCTCACGGGCGGACCCGAACAAACAATGACGAGTTCGACCAACCCCGCCAAACTTGTTCTTTCAATCTTGAAGGAGCGTGACATACCTGTTAAAGGCAATGAAGTCACGCAGGCTTTTAATAATGATCACAATCCCAGAAAGAATACAGAGAGGATGATAGGATTCCTAAGCCAGGAGTCTCTCTTGTCGCAGGAGGAGCTTACCTTGTATGCCACCCTTGTCTTCTTCCTTTTCTTCTCAGCTTTGGTCCCTTGGCCACCGATTCTGATCGAATATGCTTCCTGATAAGGTATAATAAGCTCGAAAGCTCTGGTGCCTTGCAAGGCATCCTTGGCGACTCCGAAGCCACCAAGATCCGACCGCTCCTGGACGAAGACCTTCGGAAAGCGATCGAGTCGCTCAACACGTCGACCGCTGCTATACAGAAACAAACCGAAATATTGCACTCCCAATGCGAAAGCCTAAACCAGCACCTCGGTCTGGAAGGGGAGCGGGCACTCGCGCAAAAGAGGGAATCGGAACGGCTACGTCAAAAACACGAATGGGGGAGGCAGAGTGTAGCAAATGCGGTAATTGTTGCCTGTCGCCTCCACAGTCATGGACATTCGCTGAGACTCTTTTTAGTCTAATGAATTGGCTGAGGAAGTAAGCGTGGCCCTAAAAAACGAGTCAGAAAAAGTGATCATAGACGGGAAAAGGATACTCTCCTCTTTGTCATCACAGTTGAAGGAGGATGACAGGACATTCGCCCACCTGGAGAGACTTGCATCCGAAGTCAAGTCGATTAACGAAGATGCCTTGTTATCGAAACAAGCTTCGGAGCTGATTGCAATGCTAACCGAGTATACCACCGAGGATATACAGCACCGACTTGACCGATCGTACCTGGAGGGCATCCAGGACGGCCATGAGAATGCCAACAGCTCAGAAGAACTCGATATCGGTCTCATATCTGCACTAGAAGGAGAATTGGAATCTCTTTATCCTGAGATCGACGTACTTGCCGAAGTGTCCACGAAGCAGCAACATGGTGAGCCTATACTCCGCGAGCTCCACAGTCACCATGAACAACTGCGCGTCGCTGCACATAAGAAACTTGACTATGTAAGTGTCTACCGAAGCTTCAGGGTACTCGCTAATATAGTTTAGGTCATGGAAATTGTAACGGAGTTGGTAGCGTCTGCTGAAAGCTCGACTAAACGTCTACAAGACCGCGAGTCCGTCTGCGGCGCTCTCGAGACCCTCTGCGCCGCGTACCAACCAGAAGTGAAAGACCGAACTCCACACAATGCGGTCTTAAGGAGCAATACAATGAAAAGGCGCTCTGTCCATTTCAAGCCGACGCTTACGCCTTCTGAAGAAAGTCTTGGCTCTTCCCCCGAGCATCACGCTCTAGCGGGTCTCTTGCGCCGCACGGGGCTATCTCTAGAATCGGTTTTCCAGCCTGAAGAAAGCCGGGGTGCAGCTTCTCTGGATGAAAGGAGATTGGTCATGCTTGAGTACCTACGCGGCTACGGGGTCGCAGCGGATGCGCCCTTGATGGCTGAAATGGGTCCCACCGACCGGGCTACCCGCCTTTTATCATACCATCTTAACGCAAGTGGTCAATTTGAGGATTCGCTGCGAGATGCGGAAAATGAAGACAGGCTTTCTCTGCTTGATGCACAACTGCGACACATTCAACAGGCAATCGGGCGGCTTGACCTAGAAAGGCTCCATCGACGAGATCATGACCGTGAGAGTTTTATGGCGAGTTGGGCATGAGTATCCATAGCCTTGTAGAGAGTCATGTTGAACTCCTCGTTCTCTTGTCCAAGAATGCGACCGGCCGTTGTGGGCTCCATGGCCAGTGATTTCCTCAGCCTCCTTGGTTGCCGTCATGATCCACGCTAGCATCTCGTATCCAATTCGATTACTGTCAGCAAGGACAGCCACCGGGAACGACTTGATGTGGCTGGTACATTGTAGGTTCTGCGCCACATCATCTGCAAGTCATGTTCTTCATCGCCAGCCCATCAGAGGCACCGGAACTGTCCACATGGTGTGCGAGGCATGATGCATCTAAGCCATGCGTAAAGCTCTCATGCAGTTACAATAGCTATGATCCGCGAACCAACCGTGACGCCGGTCCCCCATTAGCCAGGAACGTGGTCTTTGCCTTGCAGCCTCTTCAGCTTTCTAGGCATCCGTCACTCATATCACTCCGTCATAAGTCTGTATAAGGGAAGGCGGCTCTGGTCGCGATTCGCGATGAAAGCTGGTCCCTATCTAGAGGAAGGAAGGGGCAAAATGAAATGTTAAAACCCCATAACAGGAGCTGAAATGCAGCGTTTTTTTTTCCCTTAAAGAATGTTCATCTTTGTTCCTATTTTTTTTTCCCCCTCTCGTTTCAAACCATCATTATACTTCCTTTATCGCTGTCTTGCCCAGCTGACTCGACGGTGCCCCTTGTGACCAAGACAAGCCGCACCTACTCACGTCTACTTGCACACCGACTGTCTTTCATTCTTTCAGGGGATCTAGGGTAATCATCACTGTTCTTCTGCTCTACTGGTGCGCCTTCCGGTCAATGAATCCTTTAGGCTTCAGGGGGTGCATGTCCCTGAACGTCTATGGCGGATGCCCTCAAGGAATCCTGCATTCAATACTGACTATACCTCGTTGCTATCTTGCCCTTTCTGTTCTCTTTATTTATCGTTTAAGCTTTTATATTCCTTTTCTTTCTTTTCTCTGCAGATCTCTCATTTCTTTTTCTAGAACAAAGGAAGAACATTCTAATGATCTTTCTTTTCTTGAGGTAGCTTTTTCACAGGTACACGCAATCAGACGAGTTGAACCCATGACATCAGGCACATGCTATACGTTCATGACGATACATGTTATAAATAATCCATACCACAAGCAAAAGGTAAAGCAGACTAGCAAATTTCATTGTCTACGACTTTCAGTTGTCGCTGCTTTTCTTTGTTGGTTTTCTGTTAATGTACCATTAAACTAGATGAGATGAATAGCTTGTTCAAACAGAATCTTAAATACCTCCAGCCTCGAAGACTTTCCAAGACATTCTTACCAAGCTCCTCGAAATATTCTTTCTAACAGTTATCGCTCTTTGCAAGCTGAAGCCGCTCATCGCTAGGCACGCACCCGGTAGAGCGGACAGGCTCCGCAAGATGTGCCTCGTTGAGAAGTTCACTGACGTATATCCTATGGAAGTTCGATCAAGAAAGGTCATACATCAATGTTCGTCCAGCGATGGCAACAGAACCTGCAAGCACACCCAAGTACGGGATTGTGGCGAAGTCTACCATGCTCGCCGTAATCAGTCGATGACCCCGCTGGAGGTCCCCCCGTCGAGATATCGAAGAAGTCGTCCGGAACCTCAATCTGCAAGAAGGGTTCCGTTAGCCCGGAGTCGCCCACTCAAGCTACGCTTTCCGTTTCTCAGGGCCTCTTCAGAGTCTGTTAGAGTGCAAGAAATATACGGGCCACGAGATCACAGGACAACGCTCGATCCCTCTGTCACAATAGATGCTCGGAGAGATGACTCGATGCGGTCACGACATGAAGCCCATGGGCCACCTTCCCCACGCTTGCGTTCAATTTCACCGCAAAGAATGGCGGGTCCATCACCGAGAAGCAGAGAACAAGACCACGCGGATTCGCCGTCCCGCGAAGCCCGGCCGCCACAACGATCACAGGCGCCACGCCCACCAAGAGAACGAACTCCGGTCGTTGAGCGTGTACCTCAAAGACGCAAGGAGCCCCAGGCCCCGGATCGCGTAGTGGAAGTTCACAATGAACCCCATATCAGCCGCGACACAGAGCAGGGGAGGAGAAAAGGCGACCGACAGGTCCGCTTTGCCAACACTCTCGACTACGAGGAGGACGTCCGCAAAGGCCATCAGTATCCCCGCACTCCAATGCAGCCGCGTCAAGAACATTCCTTGCCCGGCAGGTATCGGAACGTCACCAGAAGTACAAGCCCCGAGGGTGAATTTTTAACGGGGCGCCCTTACATCGTGACCCGCACTCCACGATACGAAAGATCGAGAGATGTTGCCCCGAGGCCATCTATCTCCCTTGAGACAAACCGCCCGCGACCAAGGATTATCCAGGATGGCAACCGTCATGTGGAAGAAGCAGGTCAGCGTATCCTCGCGGAGGCCCGAAGACGACAAGCGCGAGAACGATTTACGCGCGATCTCAAATCATACACTGCATGGCGACCATGGAATCGTCGGTCTGAACGCTTGCGTGGATCTGAGATCAGCGACGGGATAGTGAGTGATGATAAGGGAACTCGGCGATATGGTTGGCGTTGGCGTTGAAAATCTTATTGCGAGGCGTCTTTGGAGTCGACTACAGACAACGTGTGATTATGTGTGATTTTTGTTAAAATGAAGCCGCAAGGCGAAAATGGAAGAGGTACTGAGTCCACTTCCTAAGGGTAAATGGGTAAAGTACCGTACCGGACAGGAACCAGGAAGTGGCTTGGGCAGGAAGTCGGCCCAATAAATGTCCGATGTCCCCTTGTAGGTACCTTAAGTGGTACCATACTTACATAGATGTACCTACTCCTATCTCCGCCGGTAAAGCTGGAGAAAATTGGCCCACAACGATCATCTCGCCCCTCGAGGATCAATTAAGGCCACTCGATTACTCTCAAGTATTCCTCTTGCCTCTTCCATTCACTGCACGCCACACTTGAATCGACTCGATATATTAACCCTTCTGCGCGCGGGGCTTGGTCCCACCATGCGACCATTAGCTGGGAGCTCGATACTCATATGTAGGTCCAAACCTCTTTGCGGACCGCTTCTCTCGTTCAATCAATCATCTACAGCTTGCCACAATGAGTAGCCAGCATGCCGGACATGAAGTGGTGGAGAGCGCGTCCAGCGAATTCGTGATCCCCGAAAACAACCAGGCCGTTGATATCAACCAATTGTCAGCGGCTGCCGCATTAGAAATATTATGCACCAGTGTTGAGATGCTCTCTATGGCGGCCACGGACTGTTCAGATGATTGGCCGATGGGTGCCGGGCCTCACTCAACATGGAAAACTTGGGTCGACGGTGCCTCCTTGACGCCGGCCTCGAATAGCGCAACCGAGCTACATTGCTCCCCGACGAGAGACGAGCAAGAAGGTCACCACGATTTCTTTCAACAAAGCATACTGTCCAACCGCTTTCTCTCCAAACGAGAGCCGCCGATCTCTCTCAGAGACTACTTATTACGCCTTCATCGCTACTGTCCCATGTCGACCGCGGTCTACCTGGCCACAAGCATGTACATCACCCGCATGGCCAGCGTCGAAAGAGTCATCTTGGTTAGTCCAAAAAACATGCACCGCCTAGTACTTGCAGGACTCGGCGTAGCGATGAAAACTTTGGAAGATCTCAGTTATCCCCATAGCCGGGTGGCTAAAGTCGGTGGGGTAACGGAGCGTGAGCTCTCCAAGCTGGAGATTAGCTTCTGTTTTCTCGCTGACTTTGACTTGCGAGTGGATGCTCATATGCTCTTCAGCCAAGCCGCAATTCTTGATCAAAACAAGGATATTTGCCATGATTCTGAGGGCTAAGCAATCCAAGTCTTTTCCCTCCTTCCCTCCTCCTTCTGCCTTCTTCTCTGTCTCTCTCTTTTTGTTTGGCATTCTAGGCTTTGTTGGTCTTTTTATCAGAGTCTGATAACTTGAATGTGAGAGTATCCAAATGTCCAGTCTTTACTTGTTTCCTTCCCTCTCGTGTGATCCAGGGAATTGTCAACTTTTGGGAAGTGGTCTCCTCCACCATTCCGTTAATTATTGGCTTCGGAACAATCCCAATGTTCCATTGTTTGAACGACGATTAGTGCATTAAAATTTCTTCAGAGTAAGGAGAGAAGAGGCCCGGGAGGACGACAACACGGCTGCCTAAACTAATCAACCCCATTAGAATGCGGCTGAGTAATCCTCCACTCCTCGTCTTGCTTTTTAGCTATCGTAGTTATTTGCACGTCAAATGTCAGCCCTTCCAACATAGCCCAAAGCCACATCATCACGCAAGGATCTTTGTTGGTCTCCAATCCAATTCTTCAGAGTGACAGATCCTGAGGCGCAACGGGTAGGATCAGCCCGTATACTGCCTGTCTTCTTTTAGCGCCCGTCACGAGAGTTACGCCGAGCAAAAAAAAAGAAAAAGAAAAAAAAAGGTCAACCACGCTGCCCGAACAACCTTCCTTTTTCTTACTTGTCTCCTTCCTTCCTTGACCCGAGATTTGGATTCTTCCTTGATTCCTTCGGGTTTGATCAACACCAGAGCTGGTGTTGGATTTCAGGATTTGATCAATTCCGTGGACTGTGTAGTGTTGACTCCGCAATGCTTCTTTAGGTCCTGTGGAGAGAAATAATAGTCACCGCCGACCGTTTTCCCCGTACTCACATCCGCCGTCACCCTTTTCTCCTGCTTATCCCAGGCCCGGACAAGCCACGCCTCATACGGAACAGTCCACCGAGGTTGCGACATACACAAGATGCCTTCCGGGACTTCTTCCACGGAATCTCAAAGCGGCAGCAGTTCCGCCGGCCTCAGTTCCAGCTCACCGTCCGCTCCCAACGGAAAAAGCACCACAGCTCCTCCGAAAGTTGCCCGAGAGGATGCCAGCGTCGAACTCAAAAACATGAAACCAGATCGTGCGACTGTCAAGGGCTCAATTCCCCTAGGAGAAGATATCATGCAGATTGCCCGAATAGGCGAGATCCCGGCTATGCGACGACTCTTCGAGGAGAAGAAATTCACTGCCAACCACCAGGATGATGAAGGCATCACCCCTTTACACGTACGTCTGTTCCGATATCACTGGCAGAATTGTGGATTCTCTGACTGACATGATGTTTTGCTACTAAATTCAGTGGGCGGCGATCAACAACCAGTACGCGATGTGCAAGTTCTTGCTGGACTCCGGCGCCGACGTGAATGCCAAAGGAGGAGAATCGGTGGCTACACCCGCCATGTGGGCGGCGCAGCGGTGTCACTACTATATTGTTCACCTTCTTCTCCAACGTGGCGCCGACCCTCTGCTCACCGATGTGCAAGGGTACAACATTTTGCATTTGGCAACCATCGATGGCAATGCGTTCTTGCTTGTCTTGTTACTCCAGCAAGAAATACCGGTGGACGTGGTTGACCAACAGGGTCATACGGGACTGATGTGGGCAGCTTACAAAGGATTCCCGGCATGTGTCGATTTGTTCTTGCGCTGGGGCGCTAATGCGAACGCGGTCGACGACGGTGGCCTGACTCCTCTTCACTGGGCACTGGTCAAGGGCTCCATGCCCTGTGTCATGAAGATTCTAGAGTATGGTGCCGATAGGTTCACGAAGACACAAGATGGCAAGAGTCCGGCAACGGTGGCCAGCGAGATGAATACAACGAGGATATGGTATCGCGCTCTGGATGAATGTGGCTTCGACCTAGATGGGAACATGAAGGTCATCCCCATGGGATTGAATTCATGGGTACGGAACAAAAACATCATGTCGAAGTTCTTCTTCTTTTGGCCATTCTTAATGGTCTTCGTGGCTCTATGGATTCTCAGCAACATGGCCGTGTATGCTGCTATCCCGATCATGCTGGTTACCGTCTTTGGTCTACAATGGGCGGCGCAGAAGGCTGCGAGTCGAAGTGTTTCGGAATACAGGATCCTTCAAAAAACGGTATGCTTAAATCTGCGTCATTGCCTTATACTGTTGCTAATTTTGTCATTTAGCCATATTTATCTGGCGTATTCGCAGGCTCTTTGTTCTGGGTTGGTGTCCGATATGTCCTCTATGTACTGCCAGGTATGTCCCATTGAACCCGAAATAATTCTCTTGTTAGACTAGTCGAAGCTTACAGGCCTGGCTTGTAGCCACATATTCCACCGCCCCGTTCTTTAACGCCTTTTTTGTCGTATTCTACTCCTTGACGACCTACTTTTATCTCTACGCCATGATCGAAGATCCTGGTTTTGTCCCCAAACTCGGAAGCAGGAACCAACAAAGAGCAGTCATTGGCGAGCTCTTTGAGCAGTGGAAGTTCGACGAAGAGAACTTTTGTGTGTCTTGCATGGTCCGGAAACCTCTCCGGAGCAAGCATTGTAAGCGTTGTGGGCGCTGCGTTACGAAGCATGATCAGTGAGAATTCAGTTTCAAGGCACAGTCGGCGTTATATAACTAATTCTTTATAGCCATTGCCCTTGGATCGATAACTGTGTTGGCGCGAACAATCTCCGACATTTTGTTCTATACATCGTGTGTCTTGAAGTTGGCATTATACTGTTCTTGCAGCTAACTTTCATCTGTGAGTGCTCATTGCCCTTCTCAGGCATAACCATATTGGCCATCGCTAACGCAAGGGTGGGAATAGATATCAACGCCCTACCAGCACCGGCTGGACCCAAGTGCAATATAATCAATGACGCGCTGTGCGATCTCGTGGTCCGTGACACGTTCACCCTTGTTCTCGATTTGTGGATAAGTATTCAGCTGGTCTGGGTTACTATGCTTTGCGCCGTTCAACTGGTTCAGGTTTCTCGAAACCAGACAACATACGAGAATATGCGAGGCCATTCAATTGACAGAAGTCATTCAAGTTCGCGAGCTTTCGCGTCCGCACTGACCGCTGGGACTACTTCACTAGATGCCGCTGGCCTTTCGTCTGCGGGTCAAGGCCCGAACCCAGCCTTGGCGCCGGGGGCTCTTCAACGGCCGCGACGACATGGGTGCTTGCAGCAGTGGTCCTCTCTCCTGGGTGTCGATACTTTCTTCGCTACCGCACGGGATGGCCTGCGGGATGGCCGCCACTCACAGCGCCCCAAAAACCCCTTTTCGCGAGGCTTTGTTACCAACTGCCGCGACTTCTGGTGTGACCCGGCGCCTTACTTTGGCAAGCGCGAATCCGGTTCTGCAATGCTCGGTGGTGAAGTGGTCAACTATAATCAGATGTACGAGGCTCCGTTGCGGATGCATACCGGTGGTCGGTACCGTAGCCTAGCCGGAGAGGAACCCGAGCAGATGGTTTGAAGATGATCTGATGATACGCTTAATTTAATCTCACGATGTGACCTCTTCCACGCCGGGGACCGAAATGGGCGGGTGAGGGGAGAGGGTTTGGTTTCTCGGAGCGATATTAACGAAATGAATATCAGAGGAGCCTCTGTATAGACATGCGCATGGCCGATTGGATTAGATGGCCCCTGATGGTTGTATTTACGAAATTTTTTCTTACTTTCGTCTTTGTTTTGTATAATTGTAGATCTTGAATATGAATCGATCTCTACGGAGTACCCTATCACTCGGATATTGCCCCAAAGCCCTAGGAAATCTTCCATCTGTTACTCAAAGGTGGGGAATTAAGAGCAGTTCAACCAGTAGGATCAGTAGACATGACCGGAAAGTACCTTACCTGTACCTTTGAGAGATACCTGGGTGGTAGGGACCGAAAGGGAAAGGAATTGTACCTAGTATTTCACTCTAACTGGGAAGCGACAGCCTGGGACTTACGTATGTATCTATGGAAATATCCAGCAAGAAAGATACAGATACCATACCTGCTCATTACATACCATACATACACTCATACCTAGCGACACATCCACGATACCGTACCGTACAAGACATTTACTTATACGATCCAAGACGGGGACGAAACATCCGATCTCGCAAATTTCGAGCGCCTTAATTAGCCCAAAAGTCAAATGCCGCGCTAGGATCTTATCTCGGAAGGATGTACAGGTGGGTTTTTTTCTTTTCTTTTTTTTTTCTGTCTTTTTTTTCTTGGGGGTTGTGGTGAAGATAATTTTTATCAGATCCGTTTATGTTTCTGAGGAACCAGGGCACTCTCACTCCCGGTGTCTCTCTTTTAGCTGTTTTAGATGCAGTTAATTCTTGTGTTTGTTTCTGTTTTCTACACCGTAGTTAGTCGCTGCATCTAATCTATTTTGTATGTACGCCGTAAGCTCCGCCTATAAATTTTCATTTCCATTTTCAGTTTTTGATTTTTTTCTTAATGGTAATTGTCTCCTTACAATTTAGGAAAAGGCACGAAAATGCCTTTGACACTAGCGCCAGAAAAAATACAAGAAGATCCCTGTTGGAACTTGCTCGGTGTTAGGTACCTGACGGAAAGTTCTGTCTGTTACTGTCAGACAGACGATCTCGACTCCTTCCACTTCGGTCTGTCTGGGTGCTTTCTCTTGAAGACAATTAGATGTTAATGGAATCGAAGGAAATGGACTAATGAAGCTGAGAAGAAGAAAAACAATCAATGAATACGGGGTACATCGACAGGTTTTCCCCTGTGTGTAGGTATAGACGCTAGGTCGCATAGAACCGCCACTGCAGGAAGCTTGCAAGGGTTGAAGGAAAAGGGAAAAACAAATTAATATTAGACCAAATAAGTGTAGATCAACCATACTAGATCGTGAGCCTGTAGAGAGTATTGTCTTGTCTTGCCTTTTGGTGTCCATCATTGCGGAAATATAAAATTAAATGGGACGGAGCAAATCCGCTCGGGTGAAGAGGCCTGATGCTCGCTGTCTTTTCCGCCTGGAGAAGGACTCCATGAATGAGTCGCGAGACCAGTCAACTCATGGGTTCTGGACCCGATCGGACCAGATATTGTGAGCTGCGCGAGCTGTCGCATACAGAAAATGGGATCGTCGTCAGAATGAACCCAAAACGGGGGAAATACTCCGACACCAGAAAGCGTGGCATGAAGTGGCATGATGGGGACAGCTCGAGAACTCGGGAAGACGAATCAGTAATTCCGAGGGTAGCAGGTAGTAAATAGTTTAGCACATTCGTGAAGGCCGAAGGGGGGTAGGGAAAGCCGGGTGGGAAAGAGACGAAGGAGGGAAGGGAAAATTTACCAGAGACCGGACTACCCCGTCAACGACTCTCTCTCCGTGCATTGCATTGGCCCGAACCAGAGGACCGATGATGCAAGCAGCGGGTTGGATTCCTGGGTTTTTGTGGGTGCTGGAAGCTACCGGGGATGGAAGGGAGCGAATTTCGAGCAGAGCAGAAAGCAGAGAGCAGGCCGAAGTGGGGATCGGTTGACCATTATCAATCAATCATTAATCAATCAGTTACCTAATCAAGCAGCTAAACGCTTCGGTTCCTGACATGGAAAGGACTTGCTGGCCTAAGTTCCGAGAAAATACCTCGGACACCGAGAATACGGAGTACTGGCGAAGGCTAAGAAAAAAAGAATTGAACTCAGGGGACGAAAGAGAGAGACTAGGCGAGGCCAGACCAGACCCTGCATTGCATTAGTTTGACAGGAGAATGCAAGCTGTAAGAGGATTATTGCATGCCATCCATATTTCATCCATTACCTTACGATAATCGGAGCCACAGCTTTCACAAGGCAAAGGGAATCCCTGCAGATCAATTCATTTCAAAAGGAATTGATACTAATAGAAAAAAATTAAATAAAATAAAAAGCTCACAGTCCGTACACCGATACGGAGTACATACGGTATACATGGACATCCCGTAATGAGGTAGCAGTGGGCCCTGTCCTTTCCCTTCCCTCGTTTTGCTGTCCTTGGCAGTGGATGCTCTGGTGGACACAATGAGTCTTTCAGCATGGTTGAATGGCCGAAGGATTCTGGATGAGAATGGAGAAGAGGGTAGAGAAAAAAAGAAAAGGAAAGGAAAAAAAAGAAAAGAAAGTAGCGCGCCAGCCACGCCTCGGTCTTGGTCCCAATGCCAATTGACGGATTGTGGGATGGCGCCATCAGATAACAGAAGAAATTTTTATCTGATCAGATTATCAGGAACCAACCGCATCTTTAGTTCCTGCACCGCACAGGATTCATCTAAAGAATTTCCCCTAGAATTCTTGACATTTGGTTTGATTTCCGAGTCGACTTTCCCTTCACAATGAACTGGCCGGGCCGTCTTCTACCAATTTTGATCTTCCATCTGATTTCTCGATGATGTCAGTGTGTGTGTGTGTGTGTGTGTGTGCGAGTCTGACGCGGTAACATTATTCGCTTGACATCAGCGGGTCTCTTGGTAGGTTTGCGACGCAACCTAACTAAATAGCCAGTCCACCACTCAGGCACTCGACTAGCCTCGCATGTTAGAAATTTTTCCCAGAAAAGAATGGAGCCTTTCCCCTCCCTCGGACTCAAGCTCTCGTAGAACTCTTTTGACTAGCGGTGAAATTGTTCAAAACATTTGTATCTTCCTCTATCAACATATCTCCAAAAGAAATAAATAAAAAATCAGCGCGTAAATAGTGGTATGAAGTATAATATGACATGTCTCTTTAATGTTCAACAGGCAACTTGAATATATCAGTAGATTTTTGGCAACCCCCCCCCCCCCGGTGGGGTTCATCGGTGTCTCCCCATTCACCGTGCTCACTGTCCATTTCGGTTTGCTGGCTCATCCGCTGCCAGGGAATTATTCCTTTAGCGCCATATTCGCCTAAAAGAAGCGGATCTGGACCAATGCCTTTTTTTTTTCTCCCTTTTGCTTTTCCTCCTTTTCCCTTTATAGTTTTTCAATTAGAGCATAGCGCGGAACTTGGGCGTGTCCGGCATCACCCCATCCGCAAGCTGACTTCCAAAGATCGAGCTCACCATCTCTCCGCCCCGAGCGGCCAGAACCGACAGAAGACTGTCACTCAAGCCATGCGTTTTCTCGTTGGAGCCTTGCAGCCAGATCCCGGCCTGCTCGGCAACCTTGCTAGGGTCTAGGTAGACCCGATAATCCCGGCTCGGGTTCCACCCCTCCTGGCCCACAGGGCGCAGGTGTTGCACATTGTGCAGGAGCTGCTCGTGCGCGTTGCGGAAATATCCCGTTGCCACCATGAGGGCGTCGACCTCCAGCGTTTCTTTGCCTTCGCTCACCGCACTCTCCGTCTCGTCCTTGGCGGACTTCAGGTGAAGGCGCATCCGGCTCTTGGGTCCGTAGTGTTCGACTCGCGTAACCTTGCGGTTGGGCAAAATGCGGTGCTGCCATTGCGTCTCGTCGGGGTTCTTAACTCGCTGAAGGTACATCTCATTGTAAATCTCCTCGATCAGCTCGAGCCGGACAACGCTGTAGTTGGTGGCCTTATCGGCGGCAAGGGCGCGCTGACGTTCGGCGGGCGAAAGGTGGTAGAATTTATCGACTCGCTCGGGGTTGAAGATCTCGTTGACACTGTAACCTATATTAGCGATGATATACAAAAACTGGGCTGAGGTAGGGTTCGACTTACAAAGGAGAATCATCGCTGGGACGCATGGCCGAGTCTCTCATGATCAGCATGGTCCTCGACTTGGGGTACCGCTTCTGAAGGTCGTGGAAGATCTCGGCGGCACTCTGGCCACTTCCCAGGACCGCGATGTTGTACGCCTGGCGGTCATCGTTCAGCAGAGAGGGCAAGGTAGTGCAGTACTTGGAGGAATGCATGATTCGGGGGTCCTGGGGCAGACCCGGAGGAATCTTGGCGGTGCCTCCAATGGCCACAACCACCTTACGAGCGCTTCTCGACGTGATGGCACCGGTCTCCACGTTCCGCGACTTCACCGTGAAGAAGTCGACAACCGAGCTGTTGGGGTCGGTTTTGCCAGGAACCACCTCGACCACCTCCTCTCCGTAGCTCACGACGTCGGAGAATCGGTTCGCACACCAGCGCATGTAGTCTTCGAATTCCAACCGAGCGGGAAGGAATGTGCTCAGGTTGGTGAAATGGATCAGACGGTCCTTCTGGTGGAGGTAGTTGAGGAAGGTGAAGCTACTGCGAGGATCGCGGAGGGTGGCCAAATCCTTGATAAACGAGATCTGCATCCTAGAGCCCGGAACGAGCATACCGGAGTGCCACGCGAATTGTTTCTGTCGCTCGAGGAAGCAGACCTTGGGTTGCCAGTCAGACGGAGCAGACTTGTTCAAGCACGGGTCCAAAGCATCGTTGAGCGCAATGCCGATTGCCAGGGAGGCGGGACCGAATCCGACGCAAAGAAGGTCGTGAAGCTCGTCATGCGGCGTGGCCTTCAAGCGGGGTAGCTCTCCAGAAGCTTGCTGCT